CCCCAAAACCCCAAAACCCCAAAACCCCAAAACCCCACTCGGGAAATAGGATTTTGAAATGTAATTTAAAAAATATGATTTTTATAGAGATTTTTATAATTCTCTTTGGAGAAAAGAAGACTTCTGTTGGTGGACTTGCCGATCATGCTCAACTACTTCTTCCTTTGTCAACAAATGCTCACTCTTGATAAGGTCTTTGTATAAGAAAGAGTGGTCGAGGATGGAATCTTGATCTTCAGGGATCTCATCTTCAAATTTCTCCTGATCTTCATACTTTTGTTGATTTTCCTTCTTTTCTTCCATAAATGATTCGTCTTTTTCATGGGGGAAGTGAAAGAAGCTCTCTTCCTCATCATCTCGTTCAAGGAGTCCATCCTCTATCATCACTCTTTTCGAGATGTAGTGGAGGGAATTCTTCATGCTTTCATACCTGTTCTGATGAATCGGATTGTCTAAGAGGAATACCTATTTGAAAAAACTCGACGGTACTCTTTAAGGTGATGAACAAGAATAATGCTAAATTTGGTAGTTGATAGGAATTTAAAGTTTTTAAAAATGTAGTTAGAGTTAGAAATTTACCTCAAGATCTTCAACATCCCATTTATCTCTTCTTCCTGCTAAAAATTTGTTGGCATCTGTAGTTGAAGACCTCGGCATTTCGTAGGAGAATAATGCAGATTCGCATCTTTTAAGATCTATCAGGTTTATACTCAAATCATGGCCGCTCCCAAAAGCATAGCTGATTCTTGAGTGAAAGAGAGCTGTCGATTGTTTATTCTTTCCAATACGTATTTTCTCTGGCTGCCTACCTTGATTATCTGTAATGGTGAATATAAAGCTTTCATCCGAAGTTCTCCAGTTTGTATCTGTACCTTCAGTCCATGGAATTGGACTGTAGCCACCAAATACATGACCTTTATTAGCACTTATTATGGTAAGAGTTGGTCCTTGATTGTATACCTTGTTTCTAAAATGTTGTCCGAGGAACTTGTCATCAGAAAGTCTGTAAATAAGCTTCGCAGTCTTGAAATTAGGGAGTACATTAAGAATAGTGTCTGTTTGGCATTTTTCAGGAATAATCTTTGATCCAATCAAGGGGTTAATAAGTTTTACAACGTTTTCAGGAAGTCCAACTGAGGAAACAGTCATAGATGCTTCTCATTCGGCTATGATTCTTTTGATCCGATCATATTTTGGAAAGTCAAGTTGTATGTCCACTTCAATTGGCTTTGGAAAAATAATTCCATTTGTAAGAGTTTTGATGAACCCAGTGGTAGACTTGTACTTATTTTAGCACCCCATGAAGAGTTTCAGGATTTTTACTGAGAAGTGATTGAATTTCTTCAGAAAGAGCATCAAGGGCTTCTATGTTTTCCAACATATACGCATCTCTTTCAAGATGCTCCTCATCAAGTTCTTGAGTTTTCCTCTCTCTAAGAGAGTTAAGTTCATTTATTATCTTGTCAATATAATCATTTAGAGAAATTTTCGAGCTCTTGAGGTCGGCATCAATGATATGTCGTCATTTCTTGGTATATTTAATCCTTTCATCAACTATAACCTTCATTCTCTCAAGAAGGTTTAGATTGGTAACTGATTGTTTCTTAATAATCTTATATGCTTCAGGTAGCCCAACAACTTTATGGCCACTATGCTCATCAGAGTAATTGAAGTTATGTCACATCCAGCAAATGAAATGATTGTCATCAAGGCAGAATTTTTCAAGAATTTTAAGATGGCTTTTACAAATATCTGCAATAGAATACTTCTCATCAAGTTTAAATTCTTTTTCTTTCCACTCCCTGATGGCCAGTTCGATATCCTCAGCATAAGGAAGGTTTTCCTTGAAGTCTCCCCTAGGTATATCAGTGATCCGAGAACACAGAGGACACCTGAAGTAGTCAGGAGAGTAATTTGGCTTTAAAATCGCAAACTTTTGGACCTTTATTAATCATTTCTCACAAAAAGAGTGCCCACAAGTTTTAAGTGTGTAGGGGCAATCGAAGATATCTTGGCAGACCATTCAGATGAAGCTAGGAGATATTTTGGCCTTGGTTTCCATTTTAAATAGCTATATTATTTAATTTTAAATTATGGGTGTTTTTTCAAGAATGCTTTCAAGAAGAGGGGTTTTGGGGTTTTGGGGTTTTGGGGTTTTGGGG